GATGTAAACTTTTCATCATAAGATGCAAAAAGATATAAATCATGAAATATAAATCATGTTGTAGAAAAATCTTGTGTAGCACACTTAGTGTGCTACTCTTTAAGTTGTAAAGAAAAATGTCTTAATCTTTCTTATGATTACTATTTATTTTTTTTATATCTATTTTTATTTATTATTATTATTATTATTTTATTTTTATAGTATCATACATATACACAATATACATTTATCATCTATATTTTTATCATGTATACTTTAATCATATTATTTTTTACATATTGTAACTTTATTTAGGATTTTTCAGAATAGCCACCTATTGGATATGCTGAAATAAAGTCATTACCACCATAATGATGGTGATGATGTTGATGAGCATGGTGATGATGATGGTGATGATGTTGATGAGCATGTTGATGATGTTGATGAGCATGGTGATGTTGATGTTGATAAGCATGGTGATGATGATGTTGATGAGCATGGTGATGATGTTGATGGTGATGAGCATGATGGTGATGATGATGATGTTGATGAGCATGGTGGTGATGATGATGATGTTGATGAGCATGGTGATGGCAATGATGATTGACATTAAATAATTTTATTTTTGTAGTGACAACTGTACGGCCACCATTTGTCAGCCCAAACATTCAACAGGTAAATCATTATGATTTAAAGTGTATGCAATAGCATTTTCCATGGATGATGTCACAATTGTGCTTCATGGGATTAAATGCAGACAAGCCCACTGCGTAGTGCACAATGTTTTGTATTCTTCTTGTTTCAATTCATTGAAGAACTATGGTTTTTTAACTCCAATATTAATTCTTTTTTYCCATGTAATCTAAGCCTTAATTTGAAATGTTTGTCCACATTTTGATCCCACAAGGCTTTGAGATATTTATTTATAGTAACCGTATGAAGTGGCCATTTTTCTCAATTATTGACTGCAAGTCAATCCTGAGGGGTTGTTTACGGAGGATGGAATCTATTCATTCATTCTCTCACTCATTGTTATTCATAATTTATTCATTATTCTTTTTTAAGTTCATTAACTCATTCATTCATTTGTATATTTATTTATACATTTTCTTCGCCTGGTTATTCACTCATTTCTTTTTTTACTAATTTTTTAATTCACCTAGTTAATTATTCCATCTACTTTTTTAAAATATTTTTTCTTCTTTCTTTTTTCAGAAGGGCATCATCTATAATAGAGTTGGCAAATGTGGCAGTCGATCATTGATTATCCTGATGACGACTCTTTCAATAAATAATGGTTTTCAGCTTATGAATCGCACAAACACCCTGGATCTTTCTGGAAAGTTGAGGCTAACCCTACGTCAACAGGTACTATGTAGAAACCTATAAGTCCATCTACATCATATTCAGGGGGGCCATTCAGCCTCTCGCTGTAGAAACCTAAACATCTATGTTGTCACATGATGAGTTTGACTTACTGATGCATGTTGAAAARTGCATGTTGAAAGAATTTTTTTGTTCTGATGCCTCTCTTCCCCCCCCTCCCACTTTTTGAGTGGTTAAAAGTACAATCACTCTTGCATGTTTTGCTTCRTTCATTTAGGTTGGTGAAAAAAATTTCCCCCATTTTTTTCTCTCATTCTTATTTTCCATTTATTTTGCAGTTGGAATTCGTTATGTCTATTGAGCAGCTGAAGCCTCCATTTATTTACTATACTCATCTACATTTTGTTGATTTTAGAAAGTAAGTGAAGATTATCTTCCTCTAGTTTCCCACCCATCACCTATTCTTACCACTTGAAGGTGAAGGGGGAATAACGAGGGAGGGGAAAAAGAACATTGATAAAAGTGTTGCTGCTACTTCTGATGGTGCAATGATGTTGAAGATGATATGATGATGGTGTGATGATGATGTTGAAGATGATATGATGATGGTGTGATGATG